ATTTTTAGGGGTTCCCGGCCCGGGCCCCAGGGTTGGGTGGCCACAGTGAAGGAAGACCCAGGGGGCCCCCCGAGGGCCCGCGAGGGAGGAATTTTTGTGAGGATCATTTCGGTGGACGGTGGCCCTCCCCTTGGGTGAGGGTCCGTGGCCCGGGGAGGGACATTAGGTGAGTTAAGTTATGGGCCCCAGGAATGCATGAACAGACAGCCCCGCCGCTCAAGGGCCCCTTAGAGTTCAGCTGTACCCCTGCCCAGCTGGAAGAACCCGACGGTGTAGGCCCGGGAAATTCAGGGGCGGGTGGCCACTGAGACGATGCCTGGCCGGGGCCAAAGGCTGGTTGTCGCGCACGCTGAGCGCCCGCCACAGGATGACCTGAGGCGACTCTGGCCTCCAAGGTGGACATCTGGTGGGCAGGCCGAGGGCGGAGCTCCAGGGCCTGCAACGACCCAGCCTCAGAGGAGATCGCCTGTGCGCCACGCGGTTTGAAGCCGCCCCAAACTCCTGGGTTGCAGGGAAGTGGCGCGGTCACGCCGGGGGGGGGGGGGGGTTAATGCGAGGCTGAGGGGCCAGAGTAGGGGGGTCTGGAGAAACAGCGTACGCATGCGCCCACAGGGGACCCCCCCCACACACACACCAACACTGGGCGGGGCCGGGGAGTCGGCGGGGCGGGGCAGGACCGGGCTCTGCTTCCGGGGCGGGGCTGGCTCGTTGGGCTGGTGCAGCTGCCGGGTTGAGGCCTCTCGTCCTCCCGCAGGCTAGCCCGGGCTGCCTCGTGTGGTTAGAGGCGAGCCGGCTCAGCAGTGCCCGCCTGCGCTGTCACCGCATTCCAAGGCGAGTCCCAGAGCCGGCGCAGGGGTGGGGCCTGTCCCGTGTGGGCGGAGCTTCAGAGAGTGGCACGGGGGAGGTGGAGACTGGCCTCCTGCGCGTCCTCCGCGGCGAGGGGCCGGTGGGGGTGCGGCTTGGTGTCCCCCGGCCAGCACCTTCTCCCGTAGTGCAGGGCCTCGGCCCTGGTGGGCTGCGGGGGTCTTTGCAGTGGGCTGCAGAGATGTCTAGAAGTGCAAGCTGTTGTGTCAGGTTTTGTTTGGCTGCAGGTAGTGAGAAAGCGCTCAGACGGAAGTCAGGAGGCAGGCAGCCCTGACACAGTCGTTTGCCCCGCCCTCTGCAGGTGGGCTCACCAACCTCTTGATTGCTGCCTCCTGGTTACAAAATAGTTGCCACAGCTCCGACCGTATTCAAAATCAGAGGCAGGGAGAATGCTTTTTTCTTAGAAAAGCTCTGTCTTAATATTCTGGAAGAAAAAAAAATTTCCCAAGTCTCCTAGTCCAATGGCTACAAAGCTGTGTCGGCCACAACTCACAGTGGGAGCATTTGAACCGGTCCAGGCATGCATCACTGGACTGACTCCACACGTTACGTTTGCCTCACCCTGTGCATGCACTTCAGGATCCCTGTCCTGTTCCATGCCATCGAAACCTTTAAAGAAATCCCCGCGGCTCACTAGGCTAATCCTCCACCTGCGGCGCTGGCACCCTTGGTTCTAGTCCCGGTTGGGGCACCAGTTCTGTATCGGTTGCTCCTCTTCCAGTCCAGCTCTCTGCAATGGCCCGGGAGTGCAGTGGAGGATGGCCCAAGTCCTTGGGCCCTGCACCCCCATGGGAGACCAGGAGAAGCACCTGGCTCCTGGCTTTGGATCGGCACAGCACACCGGCCATAGCGGCCATTGGCGGGGGGTGAACCAACGGAAGGAAGACCTTTCTCTCTGTCTCTCTCTCTTTCTCTCTCTCTCTCACTGTCTAACTCTGCCTGTCAAAAAGAAAAAAAAAGTAGAAATCCCTGTGCCCAGCTTGCTCAAGGTGTGACCCAGCCTTTGAGAAAGCCCGACGCAGAGCTGTTTGCGCCGGGAGCGTCAGCCTCGGGGAGTGAGGCGGGAGCCCCAGCCGGGCGAGGCTGTAGATCGGGGCCTTTACGCGAGGACCACTGGGAAGTGAGGATGCCCCTGACTCCGGAGCTCAACCAGGACTCAGCTCTGGCTGTCGGCTCCCAGTGACAGCGGTGACGGCACTGCAGGCCGGGGACGGGCGTCCCCGCGGTGTCCTGGGAAGGCACCGTGTCCTTGTCGCCGCGCCACTGTTCTCCAGGGCTGGCCGTGGTTTCTGGGCCCCACCATCCCTGCTTTTCATCGCGTGGTGGGGAGGAGTTGAGGTCCCACAACCATGGGGTCAGGGTTGGAACTCTGGCTCTGCAGTGGGATCAGACCAGTGCCCTGAGCGCCTTAGAGTCTTTGTTTGCTGTTGAACTTGAGTCAGCCTTGTCCCCGCCCCCCTGGGCTGGGAGTCACTCTGGGCTGTGGGCAGCGTGGGCTCCGGGCTGGGGCAGCTTCCTGGCTCCCAGGCAGAGCTTGTGACTCCTGGAGGGCATCCTGGGTCCCCTCCTGTTTTCCCCCAGTCCCATAGGATCTGCCCTGGGGCTGGGGTTGCGGGCAGATGGCCCCGTGGTTGTTCCCCAACCCCAGCCCCTGTGTGGGGTGGGGAGGTCGTCCAAGGCCAGCCCAGGCCGGGTGTGTGTCTGCTCTTTCCGGCTTCCTCAGCTGCGCCCCCTGCTGGACACAGGACAGGTGCTTCATCAATGCCCTTTCACTCCCCCTGACCCCGCCCTTGCTGCCCCCGGAATGAAAGAAGGGGTTTTCACAGCTGCCTGTTGACCTGCCATATGCTCTGTCTCCTGGTGGGGTGCCACCCAGGACACAGACCTCGGCAGATGCATGAGTGAGGTGAATTTTCTTTCTGGCCGGCGCCGCGGCTCACTAGGCTAATCCTCCGCCTTGCGGCGCCGGCACACCGGGTTCTAGTCCCGGTCAGGGCTAGACTGGTGGGAGATGCAGACGCCAACCTGGGTGCCTGGGTGCCTGAACCTTGCTGCAAACTTTCGCGATCGCCAAGGAGATGGAGCAGTGTAACCCAGCCCCAGGTCCCGTCACCCACCTTGCTGCCAGCAGCCCTGGCTGGTGCTGCTTCCTCTCTACGTTTAAGTTTCATTTAAAAATAAATTACAGTCCATGTTCCTGGGCCGTCCAGTTTCAATCAGTTATGTAACCCTCACGCATCCCAGAGCCCAGTCTCTGTCTCCCCAGAGCATCTCCACACTGCAACTGGAGTAAAAGCCTGGGAACAAAAACTCTGACCTGGAGCTCTGGCCCCTCCCCCTTTGAAATTCCTGGAGGACCTCATTTGGAAATGCCCCTTGCAGGAAACATCCCCCAGCCTGTCCCTAATTCTGCTGGTGTGAAGTTCCTGGGGCCCAGGCCACACCCAAAGCTAGAGCCAGGGCACAGGGCCCGCCACAGGCTCCTCCGTGCACCTGCACTCCACGGGCAGGGATCCTGGTCCTGTGTCTTGTGACAGCCAGATGCTGTCCAGGTCCTTCTGGGGTCTGGGACCCGGGAGCGAGAGGGGACACTGCTGGGTGTCCCCAGAATGCGTTACCCCATCTCACTTTTTCAAACCTGAGACATCCCAGGCGTTTGGGAGATGACAAAGCCATGCACACCGTCAGCAGCCAGCCCTGTGGTGCTTGCTAAACGTTTTTGCCATATTTGCTTCCAGGCTTGTCTGTGGGCGAGTAGCTAAGGGCAGGGACTTGGCTGTGAGCCTGCCTTGGGTCAGATCCCGGCCTGGCCACTCTCCAGTTGAGGGACTTGGGACAGTCTTCCCCTTCTTATCCTCTGGGTACTCTAAGACCCCTGGCGGATGGTTGCAAGCCCTGTGCATATACTGTGTTTTCTCTATACATAACATATGCACCTGTGCCAAAGCTTAACTTGCAAACCAGGCACCTCAAGCAATTAACAAGAGAAACGAATGGTAAAGTTGTAACAGTGCCATGTCATAAAGTAAATGAAGCCTGGGTCCACACAAGCCTGGTGACACTGCTACAATGTATACAGCCCAGACCTCCAGGACAGCTCCAGCTGACCAGTTGTTTATTTCTGGAGTGTTTTCATTTACTGTTTGTAGATGCAGGTTAACCACAGGTGTGTACACGTGTGTGTGCGCATGTGATGGCACGTAGCCTTGTGTCGTGCCCTTGCAACCATCTATCCTATCCTCTGTAGACCTTGCCTTTCAGCCTCCCTCCAGTGATCCCCCCCATCCCTGGCTGTCTGCCCCCCATTACTCCCCGACTTACTCATGGCCTCTCTCTCCTTCTCTGCCCGCAGCTGGCCCCCAAAAGGACGCTCTCCAAGTCCCCTGCGGGGGGCCCCGCGTAGACCTGGAGCGGACACCCCCTCCTTCCCTTCATGATTCGTTTGTAGCACAGGTAACCTGGGAGGAGCCGGCTGCCTTCTGCCCCAGCTGGCCCTGGGAGGGAGGGGCAGGGAGGGTGATGCTTCCGCAGGGCCCGGCCCCTCCTGCCCCTCCTTCCCTGGCCAGGCCTGGCCCGCATCCTCCCTGCTGTTCCTTTTCTCCAAATCTTTGCAGATTGTGTCCTTTTCCACCACTGGCTGGGGGGGGGGGGGGTCTAAAGGTGACCCCCCCCACCCCTACCCCCCCCCGCCAAGGAGCACAGGCGGGTGGCGTGGGGTCTGGGGCTGGAGAGAACAGGGCCTCAGATGCAGCCAGGATGGGGTGTATACAGGGAAGGGGAGCGAGATTGGTGTAGGGAACCCGGGGTCCCTGGTTTCCATCGGGTCCCCCACCTGCTGAGCATGGGGGCAGGGGCTGGGGTAAGTGGGGTGGGGTGTTAGGCGGGTGTTGGGGGGGCGGGGAACCAGCCAAGGGTACATGTGAGATCTGGTGTGTGTTGGGGGGGGATCCTCAGCTGTCAGGCCTCGTTCTCCTTGTGCCCCGCCTTCAGTGTCAGGTCAAGCTTGGCCCAGGGAGTGCCGGGCAGCGGCAGCATGGTGTTGGCAGCTTGGGTGTTGGGAAAAGGGGAGAGGTGGGGGGTGGGAGCCAGGCTGGATGGACGCTGTTTGTTTGAGGCTCCAGTGGGCTGGGTGTGGGTGGATTCCTGGTTTGAGGGACAGGCTGGTGCTGCCCCGTCCCTGCCCTGTGGAAGGGGACCAAGCTCAGCAAGTGGTGGCCATCCTCACCCTCACCGTGCCCACCAATGACGCAGCCTCTCCCGAGTCCTCTCCCTTCCTCGGCCCGGGGCTCCTTGCCCCTGCCCTCCTCTGAGAACCTGCCGCCCAGCCCTCCATCTGTGGGACAGACCCTTGCACCTCAAGATTCTGGGCCTGACCCTGTGTTCAGGGAGACAGAACAGCGTGGAAGCGGAAAGCCAGGCTTGGGGCCTGTACTGCCAGGGTTTAAGGCCCGGCTCTGCCGCCTGCCTGCTGGGAGCCCTACAGCCGAGTGGGCACACAGCACTTAGCTCAGGGCCCACACACAGCCAGGGCTCCTTATCACTTTCGTCATCGTCATCGTCATCATCGGATGATGATGGGGTTTGGGGGGGGGGGGCTGTCTCCGGCAAGCGTCTCTGTCTGGGAGGGTACCTGGGCAGTGCTCCCTCACCCCCACATGGCCCCATGGGTGCTCCCCTGATTCTGGCAAGCCCCAGGGTCTAACCTTGTCTCCCTCGCCCTCTTCCTGCCCCACCCCATCCAGTGGCGATGGATGATGAGGACGGGAGATGCTTACTGGACGTGATTTGGTGAGTAGTGGGCTCCCCTCCCCCACCCTACTCCTGCTCTCTCCTGCCTCCCGGCTGCCCCCCCTCAGTGGCTTCCCCCCTTCTCTCTTCCAGTGACCCTCAGGCCCTCAACGACTTCTTGCATGGATCCGAGAAGGCAAGTACTAGGTGGGGGGAGAGGCGTTCTCTGGGGTGGGGGGCAGGGGTGGGGCAGGGACACGGCCCCTCGATTCAGTAGACACCGTCCCCATGCCGTGCCGTCTGTGAGCCAGACGCTGGAGTTGGGGCGGTGAGCCGCAGGCATGCCCTCGGTTAACAAGCCGACCACTCAGGAAGATGATGGCAAAAGGCGCCGTGCAGAGCGTGATAAAGATGAATGTTGCTCGCGTAGCCAAGGTTGTCAAGGCAGTAGGGCACAGGGTCTCCAGCTAGTGAGATGGGAACAGGCCGCCCTAGGGGGTGATGTTGCAGGTGAGGTGTGCAGGATACCTGGCGGGGAGTGGGAACAGGCACGGAGGTGAGAGCAGGAAGCAGAGAAGGTAGGTTCGTGGAACAGAAGCGAGGCCCCCAGGACCTAACTGAAGAGGAAACTAGTAGGAGGTGAGACTGGAGCCAGACCTCTCCAGGTCGTGAAGGTGTGGGAGACCCCGATGCAGGGGGGCTTTGTTCTGAACAGCAGCTCTGATGGGCAGTTCAGCAGTGGAATGGGACAGAGCTGTGGGGCCCCGAGCAACTTCCAAGAGTTCGCAGGCTGGGGGCAGCTGCTTAGCTGGGTGGGCCCGGCTCAGGGACTCACGTGAGGTCACAGGCGAGGCTATGGCTGGGCCGGAGTCCTCTGAGTGCCTGCTTGCAGGGCCCCACTGTACCTCCCAGGTCCGTACCAAGAGTGTCCTCAGCACGGCAGCTGGCTTCCTCCAGACAGAGCAAGGAGGGAGCCATGCATGTCTTGTGACCAGCTCCCTGACGCTGCCACCTCTGTGGAACCGTAGTCAGCAGCAGCCAATCGCTGAGTCAGGGCCCCGCCGGGAGCAGGATGGGACGAGGTGGCCGGCGGCTGCTTGGGATGGGACGAGGTGGCCAGGAGGCTGCTTGGGAGTTGGAATCAGTGAGAGTTGCTTGTGTACTCGGTATGGAAGGGGAGAGAACGCATCCACACGGCCGCTGGGCTCTGGCTTTGTGAGTGGCTGGGTTGTTTGCGGGAAGATTCCAGAAGGCCAGGTGGGGCTGTGGATGGACAGCTGGGCCCTGCGAGAGAAGCGAGGGTGGCCCCAGCCACACACAGATGTTCAGTGGGCACTCACGCGGGGTCCGGCCCGGTTCTGGGGGCTGAGGATGACCCTGGGAATCAGAGCAGATCCCTGCCCCCTCCCCCCCAGGTGCCCAACTGTGGGCAGGAAGGACGCTGTTGAGAGGAGGGGGCACGGCGACAGCTCCCAAGGCAAGCAGTGTGGGCACTGAGGGTGACAGGCACGGGGTGCTGCTCGGGCAGAAGCAGAGGCAGGGTTCCCAGGCTCAAGGCAGGCGGGTCAGGTGCGGGTCAGGTGCAGGTCAGGTGCGGGTCAGGTGCGGGTCAGGTACACACCTTGCAGTCAGGTGCACTCCCTGGAGGTCAGGCCAGAGGCTTCCCTTTCGAGCACCTTGGGTTTCGAGCCTGCAACCCCTTTCCCGGGGGCCTCTTCCAGGGAGGGTTTCTCACCCCTCCCCACCTTACCCCTCGTCTTTTTGCCCTGAGTAACACTAAATTGGTTTCTGTTCTAGAGCGCGGGCCTGCCCCGCTGACCTTTGACCTTGGGTGGGGCGGGTCTTGTTGCAGCTTGATAGTGATGACCTCCTGGACAATCCCGGGGAGGCCCAAAGTGCCTTCTATGAAGGCCCGGGGGTAAGTGGCCGCGGCTGGTGGTGGCAGCCAGGGGAAGGGGAGGGGGACGAGGGCCTGGGAGGTGGGGTTGGGGGGTGAGAGGAAGGCTCCGGCCTGTCCCCAGGAGGTCCCTGCTGGGAGGAGGGCCACGTGGAGTAGAGGCGGGACAGTGGCTGCCAGGCCACGCGGGCTGCACAGGCGAGAGCAGAGGTGAGGACTCTGGGCCAAGGTGGGCGAGGCCGGCCCCAGTCAGTCCCAGAGCAGCAGCCGAGGGCCCACAGGGCAGTGTGGGAGTCGTGGCAGGTGCCCGCTCTGGGGCTCCCAGGGACCGAGGCCTCCTACTCCCCCACCCCACCGGCTGTGGCCTTGATGGTGGCTGTGATGTTAACTTTCCAGTGGCACAATGTTTAAATCCAGAAACACAGCAGCAAGGGGGCCGCGTCTGTAAGCCAGCGACAGTGACACTTCCGCAGGGCTGCCGCTGGCCATCCTCCATCGTCGCTCTCACTCCTTCCTGGCTGTGAGGCCCCCATGGGTTCTGAGTGCGGCCACGCCTGGGGGCAGTGCATTGCAGAACCGGTCCTAGGCGCTCTGCTCGCACTGGGAGCCCCGAGGGCACAGCGCCCTGCCTGGCCTGCAGTCGGCTGGGAGTCGCTCCCCTGTCCCCCTGCCCTGTCCCGCTCGCCTCTCCCTCTGCTGCTGTGCCACATAGTCTCCGCCCGCCTCCTTGGGTGGCGATGATGACAGTGGGGTAGCAGAGGACGCTTCGTATGCACCTGCTCGGGGCTGGGCACCACAGCCTGCCATGTGGGTTGATTTGGAATCTTTTTTGTTTTATTACATCAAACTGGTTTTACATTTTTAATTTATTTTCATTCTTTTTATCTGAAAGATAGAGAGAGAAGCAGAGAGAAAGAGAAATCTTTCATTGGCTGGTTCACTCCCCAAATGTTCACAACAGTCAGAGCTGGGCCAGGCTGAAGCCAGGAGCCCAGAACGTGGGACGTGGCTGGCAGGGACCCAAGTACTTGGGCTGTCACCTGCTGCCTCCCAGGGTGCACATTAGCAGGGAGCTGGGTTGGACGCAGAGTAACCAGGCGCTCCCATATGGGATTTGGGTGTCCCAAGTGGCAACTTAAGCCACCATGTAAAACGCCCACCCAGAACTTGAGATTCACGTCCCACAAGCAGACACCACTGCGGAGCTTTGCATGATATACATTCTTTTTATTTTTTAAAGATTTATTTATTTATTTATTTGAGAGGCAGAGAGAGAGGTCTTCCATCCACTGGTTCAGTCTCTCAAATGGCTGCATCAGCCAGGGCCGGGCCCTGCCAAAGGCAGGAACACAGAACTCCATCCGGGTCTCCCACGCGGGTCTGACGCCTTCCCAGGCCACTAGCAGGGAACTGGGTCAGAAGCAGAGCAGCCGGGATTGGAGCTGGCACTGGGATGTGCATCCCAGGCGGTGGCTTAACCTGTCCCCGAGCACCAGCCCCGCTGCCCGAGTTCATACACGCGTGCGATGTCACACACAGTGCACGCTGGAAACGTCATAGCTCCTCGGACCGCTGTGGGGCCAGGCGTGCATCAGAGCTGGAATCACTGAGATTCTGGACAGGGGCTGCGGTGCGTGTGCGTGTGCCACGGTCAGACGTAGGAAGAGGCACGTGACTCGGGCACGCCGTGAGGCCGGTGGGTTCCAGGGTTCTTCTGGGATTTGGAATCCCAGATGCGTGGTGCGGGCTGGTACAGCTTAGCAAAAAAACCTGATTTTTTTTTTTTTTAAACCTTTGAGAGGTGCCATAGGGAAACGCAGGCCAGGGCAAGCGGCAGCCAGGCCGGAATGTTCCGGAAACAGCCGCTCTGCCGCCCGGGCATCCCGCCCTGCGGCCCCGGCTGAGCTCCACCCCTTGCTAACCTCCCTCCTTCCTTCCTACCCTCCCCGGCCTCAGCTCCACGTGCAAGAAGCCTCCGGTAACCACCTGAACCCGGAGCCCAGCCAGCCGGCCCCCAGCGTGGACCTGGACTTCCTGGAAGATGACATCCTGGGCTCGCCCGCCGCGGGGGGCGGGGCGGCGGGCGGCGGGGGCGCCGACCAGCCCTGCGACATCCTCCAGCAGAGCCTCCAGGAGGCCAACATCACGGAGCAGACGCTGGAGGCCGAGGCCGAGCTGGACCTGGGCCCCTTTCAGCTGCCCACGCTGCAGCCGGCGGACGGTGGGGCAGGCCCAGCGGGGGCCGCCGGCGCTGCAGCCGTGGCCGCGGGGCCCCAGGCCCTGTTCCCCGGCGGCGCAGACCTGCTGGGGCTGCAGGCCCCGCCCACCGTGCTGACGCACCAGGCCCTGGTGCCGCCCCAGGACGTGGTCAACAAGGCCCTGAGCGTCCAGCCCTTCCTGCAGCCCGTGGGCCTGGGCAACGTGACATTGCTTTCTATCACGAGCCTCCAGTTGCTGCCCATTTGTCGCTATGGGGGGGTATGTCAATAAATAATTTATAGAATTCAGATGAATTAGTGGAAAATGCGTTTTCATTTCTTTTTAAACAAAATAATGATCTTTTCTTTTTTTTTTTATTTTTTTTTTTTTATTATTCTATCTTACTATCTATGGGGGATGCTTGTCCGATGGGTTGTGTTTATTGGTTATTATATCTTTTCTTTTCCTCCATTGAGTTTATTATAACGCCTCTTATTATATTTTAATTATTTTTACTTATT